CTGTTACCCAAGCAGCAGATCCCCCCTCTCCACGTCACTGAAATGGTCCAGTGGAAAGGCAAGAGCCAGTACAATTGGTTCCAGTGACGTCGCAGGAGTTGGCGGAATGATATAAACTGCCTCCGGGACTCCGGCTCCGGATTTTGCCTCGAGGTTATCTCCTGAAGCCCTTTCCATAAGTGGATATAGCCACAAGGCAGTGGAGGTTTGAAGTCGGAGTTTTCCTTCTCCTAGATGGGCTGCCTTCCAGGGCTGACGAGCCCCACCTACCTGGCCTCCTCTCTAATAGTGTGGAAGTGTTCTATGTTAGTTGTCATTCCAATTTATCAAATACTGAATAAATAAATGAATGAATGAATGAATGAATGAATGAATGAATGAATAAATAAATAAATAAATAAATAAATAAATAAGAATCCATCAGACCTCTTGGAAGGTCTATCAGCACAACGGCCCTTTTAAGTCCGTGCTCCAGCGATAGCTGCTGAAGGAGTAGAAGAATTTGAAAGCTTTTAGACAAGTGGACAGGAGGAAACTGATCCCGCAGCAACACAGGTTGTGTGACTGGAAGACAAAAGCAGGGGACAACGCAGAACCAAATGTCAAATAAATCAGAACGCCTCATCAAATCCTGTGAAGCCAAATGCAAATACATGGTCCAAGTGGCCAAACAGAATAGAGAAATCAAGTAGGTGACCTAACTGGACACAGCAGATGGAGAAGCAGCCCTCTCTCTCCCAAAAGAAGACCAGGAGCAGATAAATTGTTAATATAAACAGTTTTCTGGGGGGAAAAAAGAACACTAAGAGAGTCATAATGCCTGAATGTGGTAACAGTTCTGACGAGTTCAAAGTCAGAGAAGGAGTTTACTTGTATTATTCAGCTCAGTTGCAAGGATTCTGAACTTGCTGTTGAAGCTAAAGGTGAGCTGAAAAAGATACAGGAAGAGAGTCGGGCCAGGCCGTGGGCAACATTACCGTCAGGGTCCTTCCACCCAGTCTGGATCCCTGGGATGAAAGGCAGAGAGAGCCTGTTTCTCTCCCCCCCCCTCCTCCCCATGTACAACCAGGAATCTTGTGGCTGCGTCCATTCTGAGGTGAGCCGTGAGTCACAAAGGGACCAGGCAAGACTGTTCTTGGGTGGGGCACAGTGCCCTTTTCTGTCCCCAAAGAGCCCTTTTGGGGGGGGGCGTGGGCCCAGGCCAAGGAGGGGCCAGGCAGCATGAAGCGGTCCCACCAGAGTGCCTACCATTGACACTCTTTGCAGCCGTGGCTTTCCTGCCACCCAGTCTGTCATGCAGATCGGACTGGTCAACTGGACCGGGGGCTACCTGACCGGCGAATCCTACAGCGATGGCGTGAATGTCTTGGGGAGCTCCCTGGGAAGGAAGCAGGTGTGGTGGCCGCTGCATAACCTGGGACCCCTGCAAGCTCTTGGCTGGAATGGGGGCGGGACGGGTATGTTGGATTACCAGGACACCCCCCCATGCCCACCCTTGGGCTAGGAAGGCCGGGTGAGAAGGGGAGTGTGATTGGGTTCGTTAGAAATTTGAAGCAGTTCCTCCTTTCTGGCAGGAAAAGACAACTGAGCCTCTTTTGGGGGGCCAGACGGAACCGCTCCTGGTCTGTAGGTTTCCTCAATGGAGGATCTGCAGCGCGCATCGCAACACGGGTGTCTGGCCCAATCTCCCTCCTTTGGTGGTTGGTTGAACGATCGATCCGGTCTGATCACCTTCCTCCAGTGACCTTGTTCCCGTGGAAGGACTACAACTGTCAGTTCTAATGTCTGTGTTATCAATCCTTTTCCCTTTCTTAGTTCCGGATCTGGCAATAATCCTCCCACTTTCAGGTTAGGAAAGTCTTTCAACAACCCGCATGTTTTCTCATATGTGCATTCATCTTTTCTCCTCTCCCTCTCCTCCTCCCCTGTTGCCTCTTTCCCCGATCTACTAAAACCTCTCCTCTCCCTTTGATCCTTTATATCCTCCTCCCATACTGGTATAATTAACTCCTCTTCCTTTTCTCCTCCTCCCTCCTCCACCAGACAGATTTCAACTTTCTCCTCTCTTTATTTTGATTCCTTTCCTTCTACAATCAATTTTTCCCCATTCTATTATTTTCCCCCTCTCCTATCTCCGACGTCTCTATTCATGAGGACGGCTCACTCTGTTCCTTCTCTCTTTTTTCTGCTTCTCCTTCACAGGGAGTTGACCCTCTGTTTCATTCACAAGGACGGGCACCAGCCCGCCCACAAAGCCCCTCACCTGGCAGGCAATTTGTAGGCAGAAGGGCAAGCCAGGCTACTTTACATGCTTCTGGTGAACCCAGGAGCTAGTCTCCTTGAATAGCGAGTCAAAGTTTCAACGCCAATAACCTTGACACAAGAGAGAGTTCAAATGGTTGCTGCTTTATTTAGCTAAATAAAAGGTGGATGGAAGTCATGCCTCCAAGTGTAGGCAAAAGCAAACCGTGCCATACACAGGAAGACTAGGACTTTTATAACATTGGTTACAAGAGAATGGGAGGAGAAATGGGTGGTTCATGACTTATTGGCAGAAAGGGTGGGGTTACAAAGAATCAAAACTTTATGGGACTGGGAATCACAGAAGGGAAAGAATTTCGCAACAGGGTCTATAGACAGCAATTATGGAAATACATGGTTACATTGTTGTATTGTTCTGACAGGGAAGCAATTTATTACAGTGGGGTCTCGACTTAAGAACTTAATCCGTATTGGAAGGCAGTTCTCAGGTCGAAAAGTTCTTAAGTCGAATCTGCATTTCCCATAGGAATGCATTGAAAACCGTTTAATCCGTATCTGCTCTTTTCGTCTATAGAAACTAATGGGAAGCTGCTATTCCGCCTTCTGCCACTAGAGGGGGATATTTTTTCTTTTTTCCTTTTAACCTAATATGATTTAGCTTTTTAAAAAAGGGAAAAAAAGAGTTCGTAACTCGAATCCAAGTTCGTAAGTCGAGTCCATATATCCCTATGAGAGTGGTTCGTAAGTCGAAACGTTCGTATGTCGAGCCGTTCATAAGTCGAGACCCCACTGTATCTTGCAAAGACGTTACAAGGTTGGGTGAAAAGGAGACTTCCAAGGTAATAGGAAAAAGGTGTTGTGCGGTGTGACTGTCCAGGTTCCGGAGCACAATTTGCATAAGATTGGTCCTGGTATTCGCCTGGGGGAAGAGTAAGAAAACCCATCCATCCTGCTGGGGGAAGGAGCGACCCCTGCTGGGTCTGTTTGCTTCTCCAGTCTAGATTGGAAAGTGAGATAACCCGTCCTGGCGAAGGAAACCTGGCCAGCCTTATTCCTTTGCAGAGACTCTTGAGGGAACAAAAAACAAACGAACACATGTACATATATGTATTCTGCGTGATCTGATCAAAAGTGAGTTCTTCTTGTGTGTGCTTTTGTGTACGTGGTCCCTTCACTTCCTTCCTTTGTGCCAAGCTCTGCACCTGAGATCGAGCGACAGGCATCCGTGCGGCGTTCTGCCTAGCAGATCCCAAGCAGTGTCAAAGGGTGGCAGGAGAAGGTGACCCAGAAGAAGAGGGAGCACAAGGGATGGGGAGGGCAACTGCCCAATCCCTGCTTGCAGAGGGGGCCAGTCGGAGTAGAAGTGGGAACGATGACCCAGAGGTTTGCAAGACCTCTCTGTTTCAAGCTATCCTTGACCCCAGGACTGAGCCAGTCACCCCCCCTCCCTTCTACCTTAAGTGCCCAGGAGGGGTTGGCAGTGGTGCATATTGCAGCCCCCCCAGGCTTTCTGCCTTGGTCCTGCCTTCTCCTATGGGTCCGTGCAAGGGCTCTCTCTCTCTCTGTGCGTGTGCATGCTTGCCTGCCCCTCCACACAGGTCAGAAGGGTGGAGGAAGGGGTGGGGTGGGGTGCCCTTCCCAGTTGTCTTGTCTGTGCAGAGTGGCAAGGGTGGAGGTGCCAAAAGATGGGCAGCCCCTTTTCAAAGGGCCAGACTCCGCTCCGCTGCCTCCAGGTGGTTCATATTCCCCCCCCCATTCCTCTCCTCCTTTGATCCCTGCAGACCTGGGAGCTGGAGGTGGTGGCAGCAGAAGGGAAGCAGACCCGGGTGGCCTTGATTGGGCATCAAGGACAGCGCCTTCTGGTGGATGCCGACGGCACCGTCCGGTGTGGAAGGCCCGCGTCGGACCATCTGAGCCACCTCCTGCTGGAGGTGCACCCCAGCGGGGCCTGGACTCTCCAGCAGCCTGACAGCAAGAAATACTTGGAGTCAGACGGAGAGGACGTCTTCTGTGTCTCCCGAGGCCTTTCCTCCCACCAGAGGTGGATGCCCCAGCTGGCCGTCCACGCCCACGTGGTGCTCTTTCATCCCAGCAGCCGGCGCTATGCTCGGGCCGACCCAGATCTTAATCGGGTCTGGGTGGATGCCTCGGTGCCTCACCTGGAGGAGTGCAGCTTCGTCCTGCGCTTCTGGAGCGGCGCCTGCCACCTGGAGACCTCCAACCACCTGTTCGTCTCCCGGTCAGAGACGCTGGCTGAGAAGCCCTCGGCAGAGACCGCCTTCCAGCTGACCTTGAGGCCAGGCTGCCTGGTGGTCCTGGCGGACCGGGGCGGGCGCGTCCTCTACCCGCAGGGCGGCCGGGGGCTCCTCTGCCTTGGGGACAGCCCGGAAGATCACGAGGAGTGGTTTGTCATCAAGAGGTGTCCGCAGTGGGTCACCCTGAAGACGAGAGCCAAGAGATACGCTAGCGTCTTGGGAGGCAAGTAAAACCCAAGATTCCAGGCTAGGGTGGGTGGCGTGAGTGGGGGGGGGCAAGTCCCTTCCCCAGAAATGCCTACAGGCAAGGACAGGCACCGCAGAGCCTCTCTCTTTTGGCCCAGCCGCCCAATTGGGGGGGGGGCAGGCAGAACAGGCTCCCCTCCCAGTAGCCCCAGAGGGAGTCTGGTGGGCCCAGAAGGAAGTGGGCTCCACGTTGGAGGCTCCAACATAGCCCGTGGCAGGGAGTGAAGGGGCCAGATCACAAGGGGTCTCTCGGGCACCCCTTTGGGGGCATTGTTTGGGGGAGACTCATTCCCGGCATCCTCTTCGTTGTGGCCTCTCCAACGAAAGGCCGCTGTGGCGCTGCCTCAGGGAGTGGCTGCTCAGTGGGAAGGTCAGCAGGGTGGCCCCACCCGCAGATGCTCCCTGGGACAGGAAGGCACCTACACACCCACATCCACCCATCTACACACACACACACACGCACCCCGAGGCTCGCTCCCAGTGGGCCTGCCTGCCCCTTCTCTGCACAGGGTCCCTCCCATGGGTGGCCTTCTCCAAAGGTGAGGATTCCTTGCAGGAGAAACCTTTGCTTCCCCCTCCCAGGCCACTGTGCAATTCAAGGCCATGCTTTCGAATCCTGTCCGCTTTTATTTTTCAGAACACCATTTTCCTGCTCATTTCCAGGTGTGTTTGTGTGTGTGTGTGTGTGGGGGGGTGCAGACAGAGGGAAGGAAAGAGCCAATGTGTGTGTGTGTGTGTGTGTGTGGGGGTTGCAGACAGAGGGAAGGAAAGAGCCAACGGCTTTGTCCTTTGCAGATTCAGGGAGGGTTCGTGCCCCTCCCGAGGATGTTGGGGGTGCGCACGGAGCCTTGGCAGGGCCCCAGGCAAGCAGGGTGGGGTGGGGGGGGGCAGGGGGATCGGCGTTCTTTCTCTTCAGATTAACCCTTTTCTCTTTGGGCTCATGAACCATTGAACATGTAACGTGTAACCATGACTCTCTCCATAGGCAAGGGTGCTATTCTGAGGGTGTAATGACAAGAGGCCTCCATCCCCACCCCCACCCCCCACCTCAGGGTGACAGGGCCATCTTCCATGGTCTGAAAAACCACTCAGATGACCCCATCTCTCTCTCTCTCCCTCTCCTTTTAAATGACCGTCAGTGGCCCAAGCAATGTGGGGGGGGGGTCTTTGGTAACAGAGGAAGTCCGGCCAAGCAAACCTGTGGATGTCCCCCTTCCCCCAACGGCAATCAGAACGTACCCCCTTTGGGAAGGCGTCCCCTCCACCCTTCTGATTCCAGGAAAATAAAGGCATTCGTGAGGCGCAGTGGGTGGAGGGGGGGCGTCCTTGGATCTGGGAGGCTTGGGTTCCGTCCCCTGCCCACGTCATGAAACCTTCCTGGGGGGAGGCAGTGATAGCAAACCCCTCCTTGAACATCTTGACCTTGTGGAGCTCAAAACATCTTGATGGCAGAGAGCAACTCCTGGGCGTGTTTATTAGTGAAGGATTCTGAGCTAAGGAGGAAAAAAGGTGGCTTTGCGGAGACCCCCAGACCCTGTGGCCGGCTCCCTCCTGACCTCTGGAGAAGAAAGGCATGAGGCTGCCTGGCCTTTCCTTTCTGTGTATCGCCCGAGAAAGGGGGACAACGCGAGAAGGCAGGAAGGGTCTGCCGAGGAGAATATCAGCCTGTGTGGAAGGAAGGTCAGCCCAGGCCGGAGCCGGGGGAAGGCGGCGGAGGAGCCCACGGGAGGTCCTTTCCTGCCCCTGCTCGGCTGTACCCACCGGTCCCTTCATTCCCCCTTAATGTCTCGTGACCCTCCCAGCCTCCAAGGGTGGCCGGCTGGCTGAGCGGGCCTCTCTCCTCTCCAGACGCTCAGGTCTATGCCGGTTCCAAAAAGGCAACCCCAACATCTCCCTTCCTCTTTGAAGTTGGCCCAGATGCCCAAACAGTGCAGCTGAAAGGTGTCCACCACAGGTATCTGGCTCAGGTGGGTCTCCCCCTCCCCCCAACGCGGGCACTTGGGGCGCTTCTCTCCTGATCGAGAGGGTTGAGAGTGGGCAGAGGGGCTGCTGGGGCCAGGGAGGCGGGCCTGTCCTGGCCACGAGGGCTGCGGCCCTTGGCTCTCCCTCTGGGTGGGAGCGTCTTCTCCTGCCTCCCGGGACTGGCCTGGCGGAGGCCCAAACCCATGACGCTTCTCTGTGGGTGGCGGCGGTGGCGGGGTTTCTTGTCTCCAGAGGCAGGGCAAGCGTGTGGCCGCTGACGGCTCCCGGGAAGAGCCAGAGACCAGGTTCCAGGTCTCGTGGCATTATGGGAGCATCGTCCTGCGAGCTCTGAACGGCTGCTACCTGGGCACTCTTCCTGTGGGGCTGGTGGTGGCCCGAGCAGAGCACCCAGGTGAGAAGGACCCCTTGCATGCCCTGGAGGGCCCCAGAGCATCGCGTCCTCCTGGCCAAGGAGTGTAGAGACCCGGGGGGGGGGGCTGGGAGCCTCCCCCCCCTTCCCCCTTCCCCTGCTGTGCCCTGGGGAGGCCTTTCATTCATAGGGTGGCTACAAGTTGGAAGGGGCTTCGCAGCAGAGAAGGACTGCTGGGCAGAGCCGGAGCGGCAGGAGAAGGCCCTTCTTCCAAGTCTGCTGGGGAGGGGGCGGCGGCTTCCTCTCTCTGGCTGGAGCTCCAGGCGCCCAGCTGCCCAGGGAATGCCCGACGGACCGGTTGCCCAACCGCTTCTCCTTCTCGCTGCAGGGCCCAACGAGGCGTTTGAGGTGCACCTGGCCAACCGCGCCTTCCTGGTGCTGCGTGGTCAATACGGCTACGTGGGGAGCCCGGCCGGCCACGAGATCTTGCAGTGCAACGTCCTGGAGCCAGACTGCGTGGAGCTGCTGCCGTGCCAGCGTGGTGTTTACCATTTCCAAAGTAAGGCAGGTGGGTGGGGAGGGCATGGGCGCTGGCCAAGACCCTGCCTGGGCTTTCCTCCGGCCTCGTCAAGGGAGGGAGGGAAGGACCGAAGGCCCCTCTGAGCAGGAGAGGGAGCAGACGCAGCAGCCCCCCCCAGAAGTCCTGCCCTTCCCGAGGTCCCCAACTCTGCCCAGCCCCCAGGCCCCACCCCGCAGCCCTGCTGAGGAACTGCGAGAGGGTGGCTTGGCTCTATGGGGTGAGCAGAGTTTGGAAGTGACCCACCGGGGTGCCCCATGGCCTTCTTTCAGGTGTCCTGTTTAGAAACAGAGCTGGGAACCACCTTCTCTCCTGGCCTCCAGCGGCCGTTTTTAGTGGCCCAAGGCAAGGCAGGCAGGGTCTTCCTTTGACCCATGACAGCGGGGGGGGGGCGCGAGGGAGTGGCTTGAGCCGCAGGAAGGAACCCCAGCAGGGCGCTTGGCCTGCCTCTCTTTCTGGGGGACCATCCTGCCAGGAGTGAGGAGTGTGACGAACACGGGTTCGAAAACACGCGTGTACGCTTGGACAGAGAGCAAGTCCAAGCGAGGGTAAGTCCCATATGGCTGAAATGTAGGTCACGAATCACTGAAAGGTCGGTCTTGGAAAGACAAAGTCCATAGGTAAAAAGTTCCTTTTTCAAGAGTAACTGGCAAGGGCCTAATGCACCTTCCCACGATGTCATCCAATCAGAGTTCGTTACTAGGCAAACAGTCCTGTTACATCACATGAATTCTTTCTCATACACAGCAGATGTTATTGGGGTTTTGGTGGTTTCTCAAAGAGTCACAACATTTCCATCTATCTAATCACACAGAGTCCTTCTCAGGCCTTCAGAATAACATGCTCTCTGCTCGTCTAGAAAACAACTTGTCAGCATAGCACAGATACTATATACAAAGAAACAAAATGGAACCTCTCTGGCTCACTTCATAATTACAAAACCCATATGCCTTTAAAAGATTTTAACTTAAAAACCCATCTCATCACAAGGAGATGCTGCCCTTCAAGTCACTGGCCTGTCCTTTGGCCACGCCCGAGACCCACCCTGTCTTCTCCTCCCAGGCCGAGGGAAGGGCTTTTGGTCCCTGACCCCCGAGAGGACCCTCAAGGCAGGGGGAGTCGTGGCCTTGAACTTCTGCCTGGAGATCCGAGGGAACCACCGGCTGGCCGTCCTGGCGCCCAACGGCTACTACCTGCGCGGGGACCGGGAGGGACCCCTCCTGGCGGACAGTGAGGAGGTGACCGCAGAGTGCCTCTGGGAGATCTAGGAGGCCCAGGTGAGCGGGGGGGGGCGGTGGACGGGAAGTGGGAGCCTCCCCCCCAGGCAGAGAAGTGGGCGGGACTCGGAGGGCTGTCCGTCAGGAAGAGCCCCTCGGAAACGCTTCCTCTTCAGTCCCCCTTCGGTCCCCCCCTCGCAGCCCCGACAGGCAGGAGCCCCCCCCCAGGGATGCGAGCTCAGCGCCTGGCTGGCCGCCTTCTCTTCTCCCAGCCCTCCCCACCATGCAACCCCAGGTGCAGGACCCCAAAGCAGGAGGAGACCCAGCCCTTGCTGCCCATGGAAGACGAGGGGAGATCCTGGCTCTGGCGCTGCGGCCCAGTGAGGGTTTGATAGCTTTCCTCTCAGCTCTGCAGCAAGGCTCAGAAAGGGGGGGTGTTTCTTAAACAGAATCCAGAAAACGGAAGGGTCTCCCTCTGCTTTCTTTTGTGGATAGTGGGCGGGGGGGGGATGCAGGTGAGGTGGGGGGTGTCTGAGTTGGGAACTAGCTCCTTGGTGGAGCACACCAAGGTCTCCTGGAGCCAACAGCAAGAGGGCCTCTGAGCATGTGTAGGGTGCGCTTCCCTCCGCTGGGTGGCCACAACCACACCCACTCACACCCACAATGTACCTCCCTCCCAACCCCGGGCCCCGAGGGCTGAGGAGAGCCCTTCTGAGCACGGAGTGGTGGTGGTGGTGGGCAACTCAAGAGGGCTGCTCTTCTGGAAAGCCTCCTGGGGCCGTGCTGGTCTCGTCCGCAGAGTCCCACGGCCTCCTCTTTCCACAGGAGCCAGAAATCAGGCTTCTCTCTCTCCTCCGTCTCTCTGCTGCTGCCCTCCAGCTCCCTGCAAGACTCCAGCTGAGCGGAGAGATGATGCGCGGGGGGGGGAGCAAAACACCTGGAACACCAGCCAGATTTCCCCCTCCTCCCCACACAAGGCAGGGCCTCTCTGCCCCACAGAGTCACCCCTGGAGTCCCTGGTTTCTGCCGAGCGACCTTGAAGCCATGCCAGGAGCCTGGGCTGGGTCGGGCCAGGTGCCCTGTTTCCCCTTTGGGTGAGGCCAGGACTGGCTTTCTGGGTGAGAGCTTCCCCTCTGGGTCTCCTAGGCAAGACAGGGCAGGGCAGGGCAGGGCAGGGCACCCGTGGAAGGAAGAGGGCACAGAGGTCCAGGGAGCAGGAGGGGCTGGGCAAGCTGGCCTCCTGGAGCATCAGTGCCACGGTGGGCTTCCTGAAACAGGCAGAATGGCCCCCTCTTCACCCAGCAGCTGGACCTGGAGGAAAGGGAGGCCAAAGTCAGGAAAGGGCTCTGGCCTTCAGTGGGTGTGGGCACCCCCTCCGCCCTGTGGCCCCCTCAGCCTTCCTGCCCCATGCCCAGCCTGCACACTGTAAAGGCCCGTCCCCCCCGCCGGTGGCTGAAGCTCCCCCTCCCAGTCATCAGGAAGGGGGGGGTTCAGAAGGGTGAGAACCAAAGAGCTTCTTGAAGGGGGCTCCTCTTACCAGAAACGTCTCCATCGTGTCAGGCCCAGTGAGAAGGGGCAATGGTGGGCAAAGGGGGCCTAATCCTGGGTGGAGCTGGAAGGATTCTGAACCTCGGGTGCCAGGGCAGCTCAGAGGATCTGCAGAGGAAGGCTGCAGGGAAAGAGGCCACAGAAGGAGCGCTTCACGTACGTACACAGAGGGACAGCAGGGGTCGGCGTAGGGCAAAGGCCCCACACACACACACACCCGGGAGGAGGCTGGCAGAGAGAAGCCCGGTGGCACCACTGGGAAGCCTCAGCCAGTGTGTGGAAGTGGCCACAAGGACCAGCACTTGCTGAAGAAAAGCCACCACTCGCCTGGGGTGGAGGCCGGAGAACTGGGGGAATCTGTTAATTAGCAAATGGGATGGGAAGGGGCCGGGGGGGGGGGGGGGGTCAGGGGAAGCAACCCTAGTGCTGGCGACATCAGGGCACGAGGCTCTGCGGCTTCAGGTGCCCAGCAGAGAGAAAAAGAGGGTTGATGGCCCAAGAGGACTGTCAGGATACGGCCAGGTTGCATGGCGAAGCCTAAAGGACTTGGCTGGATCTTGCCCTTCCCTTTCCTTCACACAGGTACCGCCAGGCCTCCTTTGTCCTCGGAGGTAGAGGAGCCAGAGCTTGCTCGGCCCACCTCCTCATCACCCCCAGGCTCAGGATCCAAGTCAGGGCTTTGAGGGAGGGAGGGCGGACCTTCCCACTTACCTGGCTGCAGAGGGGCGCATAGGGGGCTGTTGCAGTCAAGGGGGTTGCCAGAGACTCCTGAGGAGCTGATGCCACGTGGAGAAGCCCAAACCCCCGTGGGGTCCCTGCAAAGGAGACAGTCAGGGAGCAGAAGGGTCCCCGACACCCTTAGGGGGCCCGGGGCAGTTTGCCTCCGATCACTCAGCCTGGAAAGGGCTGGGGCGCGCGCGGAGGAATCCCTTGGTTAGACCCCACCCACACCCGAAGCACTCAGGCCTGAGGCAAGGATGGAGTAGGGTGGGGAGGGACGGCCAGGAGAGGAGGAAGGAGGTCCTCAGGCCAGCCGCAGAAGCCCAGGATTGGATCCTCCCGGTGTTGGCGCTGAGCCTCTGCGGTTTTATGAGCAGCGTTCCCGTCTGCCACGGGAAGCAGGGTGCCACCTTCCCTTTAGTGGCAAGACCTAGGAAGCGTGGATCCCTGCTTGCGGGAGTGGGCAGGGATCCTGTGCCAACAGCCTTCTCAGGAGGGAGGTGGATCTCATCCCTCCATCGAGGAGGACCCGGTGGGGCCAGGCGGGCACCTGTGCACGTGGTGGCCGGCCCTGCTTGGGCTTCCCGTCGCCATCTCGCTCTTCGATTTGAGAACCAAACCTAGTTGGAGAGAAGAAGATAAGGGGAGGGAGGCTCAGGGCCAGCTGGACGGGCCCCACAGGCCCCTTCCGGGCGCCATGACCACCAGTCAGCCGGTGGGCTAGGCTTTTCTGGGGGCTGGATTTCAGAGCCCCCTTGTCTTTATACTTCGCTGCCTCCCCTCCCTCTCTCCCTCCAAATCATGAATCCACCCCCCTCCCTCCTGAGGGCAGCAGCCGCTGGGATGAGCCTCTGTCTCCTTGCAAAAAGAGCTTCCCGTAAGGGGGCCAAGCTTAAGCAGCAGCGGGGCTGTGAGTTTGACTCGGGCACAGAGGTTGTGCAGGATGGAAACACAGGATGCTGTTTGGCCAGGAGGAAGGTGTGTGTGTGGGGGGGGAGGCCCCCACCCAGGGAGGAGGCTGAGGCCACCGAGGAGGCAGGAGGCTTGGCCAAAGAAAAAGCAACGGTGAGGGAGAGACCCCGTTCTTGGAGGAGTCCCAGAGCGCATGCTCCCCCCACAAATAAGTCCTTTGAGGCTATTTTGGGAGAGGGCAGTGCGGGAGGGAAGGGCAAGGACCGGGTGCTCCGAGGAGCCCTTTCAAGAGGGCCCACGCTCTGCCCTCAGGCACAGACGTTGCTCCTGGGCAGCTAGTTCCTCTCTCTCTCCCTAACGGGTCTGGCCAGGTGCCCCAAAGGGAAGGCCAGTGCCAGCCGGGCGTGTGGGTGGCTCGTCCTCTTGCTCCCCTGCCCCACTGACAGATGTTTAGGAAAAGGCAGGTGCTGAAAGTGAAGGGCAGGTGCTGAGCGCTGCTTCCCAGTGGGAATATGGACTGGCCCGTGTAGGTGTTGCCGGCCAAGATACTTGGGAAGCATCATTAAAGCAACAGCCTCTGAACGCAGGAGAATACGCCTTGCCGGGGAAGAACATGACCCTTCTGAGAAATCCTTGGCTTGTGTTGCAGACAATTTTCTCCTACAACAAGTGGAGGAACAAACCAGAGAAATCGTCATTCTGGAGTTGATCCTAGCCAACGGAGATGACTTAGAAGTGGCAGCAAGAGGAACGCTGGGGGAAAGCGACCGTGTTTTACTTGCGTTCTTGATTTCAAGGGAAATAAACACAGAGTGTGGCCACGGATATATGCTAGATTTTAGGAAAGCCAGCTTTAAGATACTCGGAACAATGATAATTAAGGACCCGTGCAGGAGGAAGGGTCCAAGATGGGTGGGAGTTTCTTGAAAGGAGAAATCATAAAGGCACTACAAACAATTCCGAGAAGAAAAGAAGGTGAGAGACAGCAAAAAAAAAAAAAAAAAAAAAAAAAAGACCAACGTGGCATCACAAAAAGCTCAAAGAGGAGCAGACACCAACACCAACACCAACAGAGAGAGAGAGAGAGTGTGTGTGTGTGTGTGTGTGTGTGTGTGTGTGTGTGTC